CACAGGAATTTCATTATCTTTGATAGTGTGCTTATGCCCTGTAATAGGTTTACCCCTATTTTTTCATTGATGATTTTTATAGTCTTACATTTAGGCCTGTAATCCATCAGAAGTTCATTTTGTATATGGAGTGAGGTATGGACTGTTTCAGTCTTCTGTAAATAGTAACACAGTTTTGCTAGCGCCATTGGTTGAAGGGACTATTTATCTTCTCCGTTTAATGTGTTCTGGCCCTTTGTAAAAAATTACTTGTGGGAGGATTTATTTTGGGGTTTTCTATTCGATTCCATTGGTCCATGTATCTCTTGTTATATCAGTACCAGGCTCTTTTGACTACAGTGGTTCTGAGAGTAGGTTTTCAGGTTGGGAAGTGCTGGCTTACTCACACTTTATAAATTCAGATCTGGTCAGACTTTGCTCTGTCAGGCTAGAAGAATTCATTCAGGGACTTGGCTTTTAGTTGCTGATTTTTTCCAACCAGATCGCTAGGCCTTACCTTTTAGCTGCACCTAGGTAGATTTCTACCCCTAACCTCTAGTTTAGGAGCAGAGCATGTTAACCATAAGAGACTTCTTACTCCCTCTAAGAACCATAGTGGTACAGTGGTTATGCATTGGTCTGTGATCTATAAAAAGGTCAGCAGTTCAAAAACCACCAGCCATTCCATGGAAGTAAGATGGGACTTCACTCCTGTAAAGAGTTAGTCTCAGAAATTCACAGGGGCAGTTCCATCTTGTGCTATAGAGCCATTATGAGTCAGCATTGAATGAATAGCAGTGAGGTGTAATGAGGTGGGGAGAGTCCCTCTGGTGACAACTAAGGGTGTACTAATTTTATTTTATTTTTTAAAAATCATTTTATTGTGGACTCATACAACTCATCACAATCCATACATATATCAGTTGTATAAAGCACATTTATTTGTACATTCGTTACCCTCATCATTCTCAAAATATTTGCTCTCCACGTAAGCCCCTGACAACAGCTCCTCATTTTCTCCTCCTTTCTCGCTGCCCCCTCCCTTATGAACCCTTGATAATTTATAAATTATT